CTAGTTACATGACACTTTTTCCGTCACGATATGCGGCTCTGCGAAGCCTGTCATCTCACTGATAATTTGGATGTGTTGCGCAATGTACGACCAGACGAGAAACACTCGATGGACGCCGCCTTATTGGGTCTGACTGGTATGTGGTCTGAACCTGGTCCTGGTTTCCATTACACAGAGTCTCATTTGGAGACCCGATGATCTGTTCATTTGCCAAAGGTGTCAGCCTGGTCGTCAAACGATGGAAGTGGGGCTTTGTTTCACGGTCGCATGTTTTCTACTACTAGGGTACATGGAATATGCCGTCAGTAAGGCTCTGCCCCGTGCGGCTCATCTAGTGGGAATAAAGAATTGACCAGCTGCTCGCTACTCAAAAAAATGATCTATCGAATTACACAGTTACCTCTAGTACACAATATCAGAAACTTGGGCCTCACCTTTCTCCCGTTATATAAACAAGGTCTATTCTAATTACCGGCTTCTCTTGAGCGCCTTTTGCTATAAACGTCGCGCGCGGTCTATGAATCCCACCCTGGACCACCTCCCCTTTGACATTCTGTTCTGCGTGGTTGCCAACCTGAGTCTGGAAGACATTGTTCATCTCAGTCAGACATGTCACCAGCTGAGTGCCTTGATGGACGAAAGGACAGTTTGCAGAAGCATAATCGAAGTAAGCACTCCAGTGACAAACGGCAGTGCTTACGATCAAAGCTAACGCTGCCGACAGAAGGACTTTCCCTATGCGGAAGAAGCACAACTAGCAAGGGCAGAAAAGATAACATACAAGCAAGCTGTGGAAGCAATTTATGACAGGAGACATGCTTTGTCTACTGCACACCCGTTCTCGGCACGCACGTGGGGCAATGGCAACGCATTTGTTTATTGGAAAGGAATTCTATGCGTGCTTGAAGGTAAGATTGTACATCTCTCGGATCTACGCTCACAGTCGCTTGATATTCATATCGATCTCACTGTAATTGCTGGACCGATTCTAGGGCCGCCTTTTCCAGTGCCTAGGAACTTTGGCGTGGACCTACTCAACTATGCTGACGGAATCCTTGCTGTTCACCTCAACCAAGAGGATGGATCAGATGGTGGTTATATACTAGCTCTGAATATGGCACGTAATTGTCCTGATGATAAAAGACTGATCCAAATGGTGCGGCTTCCTTCAAGCTCCAAGCTTTTCGTTAGACACAACGCCGACTTCCTCTACTATGGTACACATACAGGGAGAGGTAACGATGGTCACCATAAATGGGAAGTTGGCGGCGTACGTTTAAACAATAGCATCAAGATACAGGATGGCGCAAAGCGGTTACTACTGGACAACTTTCATGGATCGGACATTGGCTCTACAGTCGCGTTTGAGATACACAATGGCCACTTTTACGCAGTCTCCAATCAAACCACCTTTGAGGTTGAAGAGATTGATTATACCTCTTTCTACCATGTTGCTCGCTTCCCACTTCATTCGCCATTGCCGGCCAGTGTCGAGAGGGACGAACGGCTGTATCGTCGCCAGCACAAACAAGGACCCATTCATGACTCTTGGACCGATCTTACACTACAGAGCGATGAGAGCACAAACGAGATGGTGATTGTTGAGTCTAGGCGAGAATGGGCTGAAGCATCCTCGCGACAATCGCGCACATTTTACGTGACCCGTCTAGAGTTTGGGAGCGAAGATGACATGAGGGATATTTTGGATGAACCGTTACTACCCGAGGACGATATATATCTCCCCGTCATAGACTCATCCAACAGACCTCAATGGAAGCCTACGCCGGATCTCTTCAGCTGGAGCCAACATCCAGAATTTTGCAGCACTGACCCTGCGCCGCGCTCCTTTATACTCGCGAGAACAAAATTTAGAGCCTACAACTATGCATGTACTACTTTTATCGATCTGGTTGAAGATCAAGAATGCTGCAACGATGCCTCGAAGCCGCCATGCCTGAGGCTGCGAGTTGGATCACGACGCGAAACAGGTCTCGGCGACTATGCGACAATCAACCGCAAGGGAAAGGCTGCGGCTGTGTACAGCACGAAACCGAATTTTGTGGACAATCAAACACGCTATCGACAATCGCCTATTCGCATGTGGCCGCCTCGAGCATCGCGTTGTCCTTGCTCACAACAATTGCACAAGATACTCAATCCAGCAATTCCCTCGAGTGGTGCATGGTACACAAGGAATGTGACGGGTGTGCTTGACGAGCAACGTCTGGTATTCATGATCAAATCAGGGCGGTCATATGGGCCGAGCGACAATAATACCTTGGGTACTGTAGTCATTGTAGATTTTGCTCGTCCGACCAAGAGCAGCAACAACACAGACTCAGCACCCATGACAAGGAGTGATAGTAAAATGGAGCAAACCCTCAGCCTTGCATGGGAATGGCAGCCAGGGCTCAAGCAGATGTGTCACGATGGAACATGCTGCAAAACGAACCATGGTGGGCTGGGTGGTACTGCGAAGGAGAAGAGCGCCGGGCTGAAGGGTTCTTGAGGCTCAATGGTATGCCAACTGCGAACATTACCGTTCCCAAAGGCGCACGTTTGCCTTGTGGGATTTGCTGCAAGGCGTGCATGCATATGCGTATACATGCGCATGGCAGTCGGGCGCGGCTGAAGGCACAGCAAGGCTACTGGACCGTCCATGGCCCCCAGTCCGCTGCACTCTGCTTCATCTAACCAGGCAAGTTCATTGGGTTTGTGAATCGCGTTGTCAATATCTTACCTAAGTATTCTTTAATAATAAAACAAAAGTAGTCGAGTTGCAATGTCACGGCTGACTCGTAAGGTGTGACACAGCAACACGCAGGGCTCTGTTTGACGTGTTTGCAATGGTGGTAAGTAGTGCTACTACTCACCTACCTCGTACTATGACGCAAGCCCAGCCGCGTCACCATGAATGCATCGACGTATGGATAGCTGGTGGTCAGAACCAAGGTACAGACAGGTACACGCCCTGACGGAGCTACGGCTAGGCGCCCACGATAGATTGCTCAATGGCGGTTCGCGTGCTCGTGCGACACACGGGCAGTCGTGGTCCATGTTGGAACTGGGACAAACGCCGTCACCTACGTCACTGCCCGCCCGCCCTGATAATACACAAAGCACGGCCTCGTCCATTTCACCACAAACCCTCCAGACTCTTTGCTTTTACTTCCCGCATACACAACCTTGCTCTTAACGATTCCAACTAGCACTAGCTGCAGCTACAATGGAGACCATTACCAACCTTGCCACTACTGCCACTACAGCAGCTTCCAAGCTCATCTACGGCGACCAGACGCACAACAATGAGACTGCTGGCAAGGAGCCAATCTCGGGCGAGAAAGGCGCTGGAACTGCAACTGACCCCTACGACAAGGGCAATGTTGGTGAGCTGGACGAGTCTCCCCTCTTACCGTATATCACGTGCTGAGCCTGCCTTTTAGCAACCCCTCTAGCCACAGCCGACAAGACCGACTATGTCGACTCGTCGAAGAACGAGACGGCCGGAAAGGAGCCTGTATCCGGAGCATTGGGCAACAGTACTGTTAACGAGCCGTTTGACCAGGGCAACAATGGTGAGTCCACGACTTTCATGGCACGCCATATCTGTCGTTTCATGCAGTGCTAACTTCCCGAAGCCAAGGCGACCGACAACGCCGTGGAGAAGACGTCTGGTTCGGATGCTTTCTTGAAGCTGGACCCTGTCTACCAAGCCCAGGCTGAGACCACCACCTCTGCCCCTACCCTCGACTCTGCTAGCAAGAACGACACTTCCAACGTCGGCATGCCCATTACCTCCCTCGCTCCTGACACTGCTGTATTGAGCAACAACCCCACATCGAGCGCAACAGAGACCACTGGCGTTACGGACAAGGTTTGGAAGGACACCCCGCTAGATGACATCAGCCGCTCAGGTGCTCCGGGAGCTGGCCCTACAGCGCCCAGCAATGTCACTCCTGCGACTCCCGGCCTTGAGGCAAACACCGCTACCACCACGTCTTCTGATGCCGCTGTCAAGATTTCAGCCCCTGACTCAGTGACGGCTTCGTCCGGGCTTTACTCTGGCTCCGAGCCTCAGCGTTCAGAAACTGATGCAGGCCTCAACAAGACCGAGGCGGAGAAGGAAGCCGAGAAGCGTGATACTCCAGCATGGACAAACACGGGCGTAACTTCGGATAGCAGCAAGTATGAAGAGGACGTTGCCAAGCAAAACGCCGCTTCTCCAAAGGAGTCCAAGAGTACGTTAACACAAAAGGCTATGCATATTCTGAGTGGCGCTGACGGTATGGCAGGCGTGGCGGAGACGGAGACCGGTCGCAAGTTGTCGTCTGATAGCCACGAGGAGAAGGGTGGCAAGATGTCGCACTTGAAGGAGAAGATGAAGAACAAGCTTCACATCGGCTCCAAGGACAAATAGGCTTGGATTCTTCTGCTGCTCTACACTGCGGGGCGCTGGTAAAAGTAGCATCTGTTTGATGAAGGACGAGATTTGATACCACGGCAACAACAGCCATACTTACGAAGACGATTCTTGTAATGACCTTTCTTTAGATAGTAATCTAATGGATTAAGCTAAACTGAGCTTCCTTGCGTGCATGGTCCAATCAATGCCACTGTCTAGCCTCGTGCCACCAACTAAAGCTAGCGGGCCGCCGGCAATACGACCGGCATGACTACATTCAACGCTCCGCCTCATCACACGCCTCACTTGCCACTTGGGCACACCACATTGGCGCTGTATTGATAGCACGGACTGGACTGGACTGGACTGGGCTTCTATCACGCGGCCGTCTATCGTTGTGGTCCAACCCCACCTTCCCTTCCGAGCCCTGCATTTTCCGAGTAAGCCAACGGCCATGCACCTAGTGTAGTGATCAGCCAAGAACTACACTGTACCTTTTTCCAACCTCAAATCAATCTTCAAGGAGTGCTCTCGAATTGGTCCCTCTCTCTCCCTGTCTCTCTTGGCTTTTCACCTTGATACCACACGCAACGTCAACATGGGCAATATCGGCAATGAGAACGCGGTCAGGCATGCTGACAGCACAAATGATAGGACAACCCCCGAGGGCGAGACACGGATATCGAGAGATTTGTCTAGTTCGCCGCATTTACAAAGCTACATGGACGAACCAAACATGATACGGAAAACAGCGGGCAAGATTCCACATATTGGCATTGTTGGCGCCGGTGTTGCTGGGCTGAGATGTGCGGATATCTTGTTGAAGCAAGGCGTCAAGGTGACTATACTCGAGGGAAGAAATAGAGTTGGTGGGCGGGTGAGTAGTTTTTGAAATCTTTTGGAAGATTTTGCGTGTTGAATAGTCTACAGTTATGTCAAAGCAATGCGCTAGGTCACTTGGTCGATCTGTAAGTCTTGTTCACTCTTAATAGCACACTTTGAGCCAGAGCATACCTACTAACAAGTTGAAAAGTGGACCAAACTGGATACATGGCACAGACGACAATCCCATTCTTGATCTTGCCAAGGAAACAAAGACTGTAACTATGAACTGGGATGGTCGACAGTCGGTTTTTGACAGTCTAGGAAAACACATGCCTGACAAAGAAGGGGCAGAAAACAGTGAGCATGTCTGGGGAATCGTCGAGCGAGCAATGGAGTTTTCGAATCAAGAGTCTGCAACAATACCAGCGGAGATGAGTTTGTATGATTACTTCCAGGAGCAAGTGGTAAAAATGTTCCCAGGCAACGATGAAGAGCCAAAGAAGAAGCGGCGAGTTATATTAGAGATGGCCGAAATGTGGGGTGCCTTTGTCGGCTCACCAATCCAAACACAAAGTCTCAAGTTCTTCTGGCTAGAAGAATGCATCGACGGCGAAAACCTCTTTGTAGCATCAACATACGCCAAAGTCCTAGACAAGATTGCCGAGCCCGCACTCAAAGGCGCCACCATGCTCTTCGAGCACAAAGTCAAATCGATCCTCTCCCAAGAAACCAACGGCGAGACAGCAGTCACCCTCGAACTCGAAGGCAAGCAAAGCCTAACCTTCGACCAAGTCGTCCTAACCACCCCCCTCGGGTGGCTAAAAAGAAACACAAAAGCCTTTACTCCCCCCTTACCACCCCGCTTTACCCTCGCAATCCAAAACCTCGGATACGGCCATCTAGACAAAGTCTACATTACCTTCCCCACCGCCTTCTGGAACACTTCCACTTCCTCTTCATCCCCTCCCACCCCCATCAACCCATCAACCCCCTCATCAGACTCCCCCATAAGCCCAACCCACTACCCCGGCTTCACCCACTGGCTCGCCCCAACCTACACCCCGCTCACAAACCCATCCGCTTGGAACCAAGAAGCCGTCAACCTCGCCGCCCTCCCCTCAGGCACCGCACACCCAACCTTACTCTTCTACATCCACGGTCCAACAAGCAAACACATTGCTAGCCTCCTCGCCTCAAACCCCCGGGAAAAACACGACGACATTTTGACACACTTCTTCGCACCATACTACTCCTTACTACCAAACTACGCGCCCGATGCCCCAGAGTGCCAGCCCAGTGCTGTACTAGCTACGGCGTGGGCAAACGACGAGCTCGCGGGGTGGGGTTCGTATTGTAATTTCCAGACTGGATTGCAGGCGGGAGACGAGGATGTCGAGGTCTTGAGGCGCGGGATGCCGGAGCGCGGAGTGTGGGTTGCCGGGGAGCATTGTGCGCCGTTTGTGGCGTTGGGCACGGTGACGGGGGCGTATTGGAGTGGGGAAGGGGTTGCGAGGAGGGTTGGTGAGGTGTGGGGGTTGGGTGGGATGAGTAAGTAAGTAACTAAGTAAAAATAGACTGGACAAGTTATTACATGTAGGTTTTGTTGGGGTGGGGGATATAAGTAGAAGACGAAGGAAGATGAGTGGGGATTTGGCAAAGCATGAATGGCTACAAAGACACAAAACAAATTCAATTCACTGGCTTCCTCATCCCGTTGCGCCATACAAGAATGTCATAATACTTTGTCCTAATCAGCGCATTCCTTGCTTCTTTCTTCTATTGGTATCTTCGCTTCATTTCCCAAGACGAGCCACAGTAATCCTTGTTTTAGTTCTTTGTGCTCCAGTTAACGTACTTGGTAGTATCGTCACCCCCACCCGCCAAGCGGGTGATCTAGTCGTCGCATCGTCGCATCCTCTGCTCGTCGAGTGCCAGTGACGTCCAATGTAAACCTGACGCCTGGCCATGGACGGCGTTGTTCTACTCGTCTTCCATGCCTTCAAGCAGTGTGTGTTCGAGCACGTCGCTCAATGTGACGACGCCCTTGAGTTTGCTGTTCTCGTCAATGACCACGAAGCGGTGCACGCGTGACCTGCGGATTGTGTCGTAGATCGTTGACATGTTGTCGTTCAGCGAGCAGGTGAAGATACCGGGGAAGTCCTGTAAAGATTAGCATGCCAATTTTTTGTAAGGTCAGTGAGTTCCTTACATCTGAACGCTTCAACAAAGCATCGCCGACCGTTAGGTTGAGGTCGTCGTATACACCGCCCTTGATGAGCGCTATCACATCCACAGCTTCAAACACATTGAGCACAGTTCCTACTGCTGTCAGCCATATGTTCCTAGAACCAATCCAATTCCTTACCTTGTTTGTCCAAAATAGGAACACTCGATATGCTTTTCTTGACGAGCATGTGTATGACGTCCATGACAGGGGTATCCATGGATGCAGTTGCGAGATCGGTATACGTGCCAACATTCAGCTCCCTGAGCGGCTTGCGTAGCTTCTGCGTCTCCTTGACATTCACCGCGATAAATTTCAATATGCGGTATTGTGTAATGACACTAACGACCATGGTTCTATGTGTCTCGTCATCGCTATCGACGATTGGTATACGCCGGGCGCGCGACTCGAGCATCTTACGACATGCTTCGTATACGGGACGGTCGGGGTGAATAGAAATGGTTTCTATGGGCTTGACGCCGAGTGCCTTCTCGATGTCTGTTTTATGTCAGTATACGCCTGGTGTACGTGGGCCGAGCTTCCTTACCTCGCAAGCTGTTCAGGCGGAACTGATCTACTCGGGCCAGCGCATCTGGATTCTGCCAGTAGTACTGGATGACATTGATGTAGTCGGATGTCGTGAGAAGACCGGCAAAAGTAGATGACTTGGAGTCCCACAGCGGCGCTGAGACGATGCCTGTGGAGTGCTCTTAGCTGACATATCTTGCACGTAATGTCTGACGAGCTCACCATTCTGGTTTAGGATATTCAGACTCTTCTTTACCAACAGGGCGGTATCGAACACGATGAGACGGTAGCTGATAGGGAGCACGTCATAGCTCGTCCTCGCTTTGAGAAAAGCTCGAATGGTTCTCTGGCGTCGTGTCAGCCTGTCCCCATGACTCTTCACCACACAAACGTTGCCATACCAGGCCGTCCAGCTGCTCACGGTCGATGGCCGAAAGCTGACGCGGTTGCTCTTTCGGGGGCAAGGGGGCGCGGGATTGCTGGAGTAAATCTCTCGGTGTCACAAAAGCCGGTCGCGCATCGCTGCCGAGGGCGTTGGTTGCTGAGTCCGCCGCGTCGTGGCCAGACATGGTTTATCGCGATGCTCCTCGGAGCCGCATGGGGCGTGTAACCCCAGTAGTGTTTTGTTCGGGGGGAAAGATACAGTGGGCACTAGGCTTATAAAGCCCGAGACTTCTGAAATGCCGTGGAAGATGGCGGAGGTAGACGCCCCACGATGCACGATCGTCATTAGCGTATCGGGTTCCTCCAAAGTCCATGCGCAAACATGCGGGGCAAACCAACGTCTACGAGTGCCACGGCACGAGTTTCAGGACTCAAATACGCCGTCTCAACTTTTCGCTCGATTCAAGATCTAAAGCAGCCAGTACAGACGTGGCGCATACTTTGGAGAATGCATACAGACCAAGCGCACAAGATGCACAAGCATGCCTACAAAACTATACATCACTTCCTCATCATTGCTATGCGCCTCTCCACTCGCATATGAGGCACCTCCCCACCCTTTGAACTATGAATTACATGCAGTGGACTCTTTCTCATCCCAACTATACGTCGTTTTTCCTCGCGGCTTTGGCGGCTTCGAGACTCAACTCAGGGCCGGGCTCAGCCTCGGTTTCCTCCATGATAATCTCCTTTGCCGCATGCTCGACCGATATCTCTGGCTCGCCAATCGACTTCCTTGCCTGCGCTACAATCGAGTCTGCTTCAGTGATGCCGCCCTTCATAGCTGCCTGCTCTTGGTCTAAACTTGTCGTGGCCTCATTCTTGCGCTGGCGGAGGGCTTTGTTGTCGAACCGCACAACCATACACGACAGGTTGTCAGTGGAGAAACGAGCAAGAGCGTAATCGACGAGCTTCTTCGAGGCTTCTTGAGGATCATGGATTTGACGTATGAGATCGACGGCTTCTTGGTCGGAACAGACGTCCCAGAGCTGTACCTGTTAGCGAATATAAATTATTCATGTGAACATGACTTACACCGTCGCAGGCGAGGATAAGGAATTCATCTTGATCGGCTTGGATGACTGTCTCCGTGGTGTAAGGATGTCCAGTTACCAGGTCCTTCATATATGCGTCGCCTAGCGCACGCGTGACAGCGAGGACGCCGTTGACGCGGTTGTTGAGGATCAAACCACCAGCACTAGCAACTCGACGTCCTTCGTTTTCATCACTGCCCTTGTGGTCGTATGAAAGGCGAAGGGCTCGACCATTCCTGCAAAGGACAATGCGCGCGTCGCCTACGTTTGCCGTATACAATACGCGCTGCCGTGTAGCTTCACTTCGTAGTTTTGCCTCTACCTGTTCAGCTGCAGGCTCAGAGGTAACTGCGTCGGCACCGTCTTTGGACTCGCCGGCTTCACCAGCTTGCTTGATAGCAGATACTGCCGCAGGTGCAAAGAGAACGGAACCAGTGGACGATTGTGCGTTAGGCACTCGATCTTCCCATCGCAAAACTGCAATGACAGCAGTACAACCACTGTTCTTCAAAGGAAGCTTCTCCAACTGCTGGTCGACTACGGTAAAGGTCTGATCAAGAAGTTCGGGTATCGGCGTGTTGGGATTCTTTCGAATCGTCTCTTCCAAGATCAAATGAAGCTTCTTTCCACACCAGTCGGCAGCAAAAGTACCTGCATGACCGTCGAAGATGGCAAAATAGCCATTATCGCTCTCGACCACGGCCTGCGATAGATCAGACTGGACCGAGCTCGCATCCGAGACAGCGCGGGGCTTGTCCAGGCCGTACGAGGGGGCCGGAGTGCTGAGGAAGTTGTATAGGTATGCATGTGTATCCTCCATAGTCCGTCTGCACTTCTTGTTCTTGTCTTCGGTGACACCGACGCGGAACGTGGAACGTGGACCCGGTGCGGACTCGCCGGCAGAGTTGTTGAGCGAGCCCTGGGGCACGCTGAGGGCAGCGTCCGACTTGCCCAGTTTCTGCATTGGAGTTTGGGCAGCTGGCTTCTCCGACATGTGGGCGGTGTTGGCAGACGAGGTCGAGGTGGGGGAGGAGCCTCCAATGTGCAATGACTGCTTCGCGCTCGAGAACATGTCGCGGGCACGCGACACGCCACTGCTCCGTCGTTTCCGCTCGGGTGGAGCAGCAGAGTCGCTGCCCTTGCGATCAGCAGTGGCACCATTGCTTGCGCCGTGTGTGCCAGAGGCGGCGTTGTCGGCCGTCGAGGCAGCCGCCGGCCTAGGCGCGTCGTTGTTTGCCGGGGCATCGATGGCGGCACCTTCATCATCTTTTGCATTCCCGAACATCTTCGAGAGCAAGCCGCCCTGGGCGCTCCGGCGCCTGTTGCCAGCCAGCTTGAGTGATTGCGACGGCGCTTGTTTACCGGGTGGCGGCGACGAGGATGGGTGCAGGTGGAGAAGGGGGCGGGCGGGGGGTTTGTTAGGAGCTGAGATAAGCGAGGCTTGAGGAGCAGCAATAAGTTTTGAGCAAAAAGATGTCTCTGGACAAACGCAAGGGGGGTGGCGGTGTTGGGAGAAGATGGGGCCTAGGTGTGATGACGTCGGGGGGCTACGGCGGGGTGTGCAAGTGTGCGAAGCGGCGAGTGCAAGGCCCAATTGGCGCAGAGGGGAAGGCTGGACGCTGGACGCTCGATGGCAGGAGAGATGACAGCAGGTGGGCAGGTTCCAAGGTTGGAGTTGGGGCAACGCGGGCAGCAGACACAGGAATGGTCGTCTTGTGCAGCTCAGTATCATGTACGTACGTATGTAGTAAGCAGTGCGCGCCGGGGCTACCTCGACCTATCTAGCATGCACATGTAATACCACGGACGCATATAAACCCATCTACTAATAAACACACCCACCCTCCCATGCTCCCGTTCCCTGGCCACGTGCCAGGCTTCTCGAATGCAGTCAGACCCCGCCCGCCTGCTGTGTAATCAAGTCGGCGAGCTCTTCGGCCAAAATACTCGTCTTGTGACTTGTCTTCTCCTGTGGCTGCCACGACGCCAGCCGGCCGAAGAGAGACATCATCCGTTCCAGCATGATGGCTATCGGGCTACGATCAGCGAGATCTAGGCTCCATGCATGCACGCCGGCGCTCTGGGTGGAGCCCGCTGCAACACGCACTAAACTCATTCTTGTTCGCGCTTACTCGGTGTGGCCTTGAGGACATTGCAGTCGTACATCTATACCTGTCTCTTCAACCCTTCCCCGTCGATCCATCAAACCAACTCCGACTCTCCGTCAGAAGCAAGCATGATAATTTGCTTTGCACGCCCCCCAGACACCTCACCCCCCAGACACCTCACCTCCGTCGGACAAACCACGGATATAAGCTGCAAACTCGTCCATGCCCATGGCCGCCTCTTCATTGTCGTGACAAAATAACTGCGTCGATATCTTGTCCAAGGCATCGGCTGTTATCCGTCCAGCAGCCCTCTGGATTTCAAGGCCCACGATAAGTCGCGCTTTGCAGATGAGACTGCGTTGTGAACTACTCCAGGGCAGGGCACATGGCCCATCTGAAGCCGAAATTTCGCCATATAATCTTAGAAGCTTAGTCTGGTACTCTGCATCCCCTTTTATGGCTCCACGAATCAGAGCCTGGGTGTCATCTTCTTCTCCTGATGTCAGATCAGGTTTGATTGAATTTTCCTGGGCGAGAGATGTGCCAAGCTTCAAGGATTCGTCATCGCATACCGATAAGCTTCCCGGAATCGTTATTTGTTTTCGTTTTTGACTCTCAAGGGAATGACGGATATGAATTTTGGTGGGCATCATTGGTGTCATGTGTACAGCAGTGGCTGGAATAGCTTCTTCTAGCACATCGTTGCTTCTTGTGCTACGAAGACTGCAGGTGTCGTCTTCATACGCAGCGATTATAGACATCTCATACGGTTCCGATGCATCCACATTGCCTACGATCAAAGAAGAAGACGATATTGCATCTTTTGGCTCGTTCCTCGGCAGCTATCCGGTCATCAGTACTCTATCAGGATCAAATCATCTCATCAAAGCCACTAACGACGACTGCCTCTTCTTCCCCAACGTGTGATTCGGGTACCTTGTCTGAAGTATATTCAACTCGCTTCAAGCATCTACATCCCTCGCAATGATATCCGGCATCTACAAGGCCTAATCTCACAATCGCCTCGGGAACATGGCACGTTTTGCAGCGTTTGTTGTGAAACTTGTGCTTGCATAGTTTGACAGCGTTATTATCGATTTTCGGCCCAAATCTTGCCTTGGTAACAGACTTGAAACGGCAGTATAGACTGTGTTTTTTTATCTCCATGGCGATGGAGAGAAACCATTTCGGAGCAGACATATGTGCTATCATATCCTCAGGATTGAACATGGACTCTTTTTGGGTAATATTCATTCGAACGGGTATCCTTTTGTTTACATTCCATTGTTTCCTTGCGTTCCAAAGGTCGATGCCTTTATTACAATCCTCCACTTGTTTCAAGGTCGACTAACTCCCGAACAATGTCTTTATCTTCGTGATGCGCATCAATGCCTTTCTTTTTTTACCCCAAATCCCGCAATGGGCTATTTTTGCTCTTCTTTCGCTTCTAGCGGGGCATTTTTGTCGCCAAAATCATACTCTTCACCCACGGTCGTTGCTTTCTCCTAGAAATCACATGACTCAGCAAGTAGCTGCGCCAGCTCCTCTAGCGCCTCTTGATCCTCTATCGTAAAACCATTGAGCTCCGCACAATCAATGTCGATAATTGCCACCACCTGTTTTACTGTTTTAGCATCCATGTGTCTTGCCGATTCCCAGCCATATCACCGACTTGAATGCTAGAGTAAAAGCAAGTAAACAAGCAAAGAGTCACATACCTTTCCGTCCTTGACGATTGGAACAACAACCTCACTCCGACTCGCTCCATCACACGCAATGTGTCCTGGGAACTTTTCAACATCGTCTACTAATTGCGTCGTCGCTTCTTTCGCAGCCTTCCCGCAAACACCGCGCCCAAAGGCAATGACTTGACATGCAACCTGTCCTTGGAAAGGACCAAGTAGCAACTGGGATGGATTTGACGGGTCTGTGAAGTAGAAGCCCGCCCAGTTGACGGCTGAAGAAGGAGCCGGTAGGGAGTGATAAGCATGCCAGAGCAGGGAGGCTGCGTTTGAGAAGTTGCTGTTGAAAACCGCACGTCAGAACTTTTCTTTCTTTCAATCCAAACAGGCCACTTTATCCCACAAAGCGCAACGGAGTAACTCACCAGACCTAGATTTCATGTCAGCATGTCGTCCAAAGATTAACGAAAACTACGACTCGGTTCACCGTTCATAATGTCGTCTCAAAAACACGTACCCAATTCCTCTGCCCGTCAAACAGCGCCCTCGCTTGTTCCAAAACCTGTCCATATACCTCCTTTTTGCTCATGCCTTGGGCAAACGTAGATGAGTCGGCGTGCACCTAATAGCGCTCATACATTAGCAAGCCCTACAAGCCTCAACACCTTGGCAGAACCAAAAACATACCATATTGTCGTATAATACAGTTGCAGATGTCGTTCCAGTCGTTCGTCACCATGCACACACAAATGGTTTTGTCTTGACTTGCGATCGCCGAGGCTTGCCGGACGAAATAGAACCCACAATTTAGCAAAAGGTAACCAAGGAATTCCCAGTCTCTTATTTTTTTTTTGGGAAGAATTCACTACTGTGAGATTATTTTTTGATTTCAAAGCAAATGTTTACTTGATTAGCGAGACGCGCCAAACTCGATTAATGTCTCTTTTGGAAGGACGGCGACGTTTGCATGACTGGCATGTTTCGTTTTTGGGCGAGATTAGATGTTGTCGCTAAACTGGGTTTAGACTACAAAACTTGCGATCGCGTCATCGTTTGGTTCATGCGAATCCCTACACTTGGGTTTCCACCTTTCTTGCAATGCGAACGAATGGTTGGTGGAATGAGGGGAAATGGCAGCTCCTTGCTTTGGAGTTGGGGTATGGAAGACAAATTTATGAGTGTCAAGTACGCGAGCTTGACTGCAACATCTTGTGTTCTTGCAGGTTGGTACATAGGGACTGCAAGGTCAGTGTTACATACACCTTGCACCGAGACATAATCTCCTACCTTGATTCATTATCCTATGTAGAGTTGCGAAAATATAAGCTCTACGCCCGCACCATTGCACATCGAGCATCGCGCCCGAAAAGATCCATGAGGGCCGTTACATTGTCTATTTTCACTTTCTGTCTCTCCACAACGTGCCAAAGGGTGCGGAAGTGCCAAGCCGAGATATCGATAACATCACGTGGGCTCTCTTGCACCTTTGCGGTTTGCAAGCGTTGTTTCTCTGCGAATTGCATAATGTTAATTTTATAGGCATGGTACATACGACCATCGGAGAAATAAAATTAGGCATCCCGTCCGATCTGCCCTATACAAGCTTTCTACCGGCGGATTAGTAGTCAGGTGGGTGACCACTGGCGAATCCCCGCTGTCGTATGTTTTTGCATCTGTTTTGATTTTTTTTGGTGGATCTGAGAAAGTCACGTGGAAGGGTCTTGGTGGGTATGGTCTACTCCCACCTGAACCCGTATCCTCCTACCTACCATTGAACCTGGACCAAAGACCTGTGACTCCCTGCAACTTTCTGAACTCTGATTTTTTTCTCCAGAGTCTCCATATGACATGCATCCCGCATGGCTGAGCAAAACGCCTCACCAAGATGACTATATTGCATAACTTTGTACTTTCATCAGTGAATGAGTTTGGGCTGAGTAGTGTGGCATGTTGGTCCTTACGTGGTCCTGCGCCCATCCAAGACGGTACTAGCTAACACGCCTGGTTGCTATGGTCTGGTGGCATTCTCGATAGACTCAGCGGTATCCTCGAGCTGCAGGCTTCAGCTCAACCTTCTCACCAGGCTGGGCTGAAGCCTGCAGCTTTGGCCTCCACCCATGCACTAGCTCTTGATGCGTCCATTGCTGCGCGAAAGGGAACCATTGCAACTCTACATCAATCACAATTTACCATGCCTCTCGGTAATAACACAGCACCGGCCAACAATATAATTAGGCTGGCTCATACGCTAGGATTCATCGACTACCCAAAGGAAAAGACCGCCGAACCATATCTAAGCTACATCTTGAAGCAGCGTACTGATAATCATAGTGAAGCAAACTATGTCAACCTGTTCGTTGAGGTCGTCAAACGCTTCCAGGCCACCGCACCGGTTGCTACAGTGCAGTCAGTCATAGACAATCTCGTCTTGACAAACTTTCCAGGGCTTTCCGCGAACACTGCTGTCGGTGATGACAGGCGCAAGGAAGACGTTGAGGATACGGTTATGTGTATACTTGGAACTTGGGCTACAATGCTCAGCTCCTTTCAAAACAAGCGTCAGCATCGTGAGGTTGTGGCAGCATACTGCATGTTTGCAGATGACACGCGAACACACAATGCTGCACTCACGATGACAACAGGCACGACGACAGGGACGGTGCCCGTAACGTCCTCTGCAACTCCAACAGCCTACAGTCATTCTCTATCTGGCCTCATTGCACATAGTGGTCTCCTACCTGGTGGGAAATGGGATCAGAGAGTAGACGCGGCGCTGGTGCTGAACACCTCGAATATTCAGAATCAAAGCTCTTTACAGCATTTGTTGGTAACTCCACCTGGGCAAGCTCTGCCGCATGGTACGTAATTTTAAAGAGAAAAGAACTAACAATTAGTGAAGTTTGTTAATATTGTATCTAGCAATGTCGTCCTATGCTATATTAGATGATCTTGGTGTTCAGGAGTCACTGTCCATCAGTGCGAAACGTCTCAACGCTTTCACCCTGAATGTGTTCAGCGGAGTGGATGTTCAATGGACGCCCAATGTGTCACGCCACTTACTTCTTACCAATGTAGGCGGACGCCACGTTTTGGAACTGTTCTCATTGCCGTGTGCTTTCTGTTCCATCACATCTCTCGCCGTAGGCATACCGCGGGAGCTCCAACAAGAGATTTCAGAATCATACGCTATGCTATTCAACGCATGGTGCATAAAGCCATTACACGTGAACTTAGGAGAAGTTTTTGGGATCCGCAAAATGTGCTGGTGCCGGTCGTGCTGTGCCTACCGCTATCGTAAGCGATGCATCCACGCCTGCCGCTCACATGGACCGGCGACTTCACGACATAACGCAGCGAATCCAACCCAGAGCGATTTCGACCCGACTCTAGAAAACCTGATGATGAAAGACTCAACCGATAGCTGGACGCCAGTGAGCTTCCCGTACCTCTGGCCACGCATTGCTCGACTCGAAAAACACCTTCAGTCGTCAAGACCTTGGAGTCTATGGGTGCTATTTCGCGATCGCAGGGACACATTGCAGTTTTGGACATTTCTGTAGGTTTGTGTACTATATTTCAAGCAATGCAGGCTAACTGTCTTAGATTTGGTACCGTGATCCTCTTTTTGACCGTCATTCAGGTCTTGCTTGGTATCGCGCAGGTTGTAGGCTCCTTCCAGTAGTGATCATACCCGAATAAAAGACTTGCTTCATTGCCCCAAATTCCGAAACAAGGTTGCCAAGTTACTCGATAGTTTGGATTGGATTGTACGTGCTATCTAAAGGGACTAGATATAGAGTACTTTTGTTTCTCAAATTAGTGCAGGAGTCCAAACAAGGGGAATATGATAAGAAAGCCCCTATAGCCTTAAAACTGAAGAAAAAAACCCCTTCCTACAATTAGTATGTCAAAAGGAGTTAATTTTGATACTAAGTTATGCTTTGCTATTTTTGAATAGTAGACGGTGAGAGATTCAAACACTCGACCTTGCAAATTCCTAGTCATCATGGTAAAAGAATTTTGAAATCCTAAAGAAAACCCCACTGCACCACCCTCTCCGCCAATTTACAAGATGCTGTATTCCTGACGAAGCTCATCCGGCACTTGAAAAGCGCCATAGAATGCCACAAACCCTTTCCTCAACCTCTCCTCCAAGTGCGGACCCTCTGGCAAGTCGAAATTTTGCGTGTGCCCGCTCCCCTGCACAAAACTCTGAAAACCTACTATGCCAGGCCCTTGGCTTCCATCCTCCCTCTTACCATCTGCCCACAATGCTACTCCGCTGTAGCCATTGGGTATGTCAAAGTCCGGACTTACACGGTAGAGTACAGCTCGCGATACAAATTTTCTCCAAAACGATTCATCGTGGCTCTCTGGAGCCTTGCTACCAGCCGAAGCAGTTTGATTGCGAAATACACCTTCACCCACTATGGTGGCCTCGGAATTAGTATGGCATTTGATGCATTTTGCCTGCTTGTCGGGTCCTGTTGGTCCGAGAATTTTGACAGCCGCAGAATGCTGACGCAGTGATGACCAGGCTTCTCGACTCAGCCAGCCAAGGCCGTCAACTGGAGTCTGGATGTTTGCGATCGACGCTTCTCTGTCTCTGTCTGGCTTTATCAAAGTGACGTCGTGCTTGAAACCGGAGGGGTAGTATTCTGCAGCTTGGTCGAAACTCTTCTCGATGATACCAATCTGCTTCTGTGTTAGTCGTGCTTTTACAAAGACCCCGCATACATTTCCATATTGGTGCTTACCTTCGAACCCCCTGCACAAATCTCAACATGCTCATTCCAGTCATCTTGGAGTCGCCTTATCCGATTGCGGGTTCGACTGATTAATGTTTTGCTCAAGATTGCTTCCGTGATGACGTGTGTCGACATGACCAAGTAAGTTTGATCGAGTTGACCATTCTTTGCTACCTTTAAGCCAATTCTCCCCTCGAACTTCGTTCGTGGGATGAACGATACACGTGCTTCAATCAAGTCATTGATCTGCAAGGACTGAGCTGGTCGACTCTGCCTAGATGGGTGCGTGATTTGGACGTTTGGCGTTTGTGACGTTGCAGATGACCCATGAGCGACTGCTACGTTGGACTGAAGCGTAGTCGGCTCCATAGTGTTCATGATATAGCATACCTTCAGTCCACCGAAGCTGTGAGGTAAGTGAGAAGATGCCCAGGAAGTGTCGAAAGTATCGGGGACGATGACCTGCAAAAGACCGCTGATGAGAACGTAGAAACCCAGTGCGCCTTCGAATGTAAGGAAAAGATCCCGTATGACATCCATAGGTAATTCGGCCCAAGGATTTATAAGTGACGATGTTCTGGGATCTGGTGGGGGTTTTACTCCACCAACAGGCGGCCATCTATGTTCTACCGGTATCACGACAGGAGCGTGAGCTATCGTGAGAGGGATTTGTTTCGGCTCGCTATCCAGCAAAGGTGTGCATGACCAACAGCCATTTTTTGCGGCACCTCCAAGATGGTTGGTGATGAATTCGATGTCCCATTTGTAAGAATCAGGAAGTTGATCTTGAATTTCTTCCCAAGAAGAAGGTAGTTTCTCTGCCATTTCTTCCAATAAATGTCGTATCGTGGGCTTTTCCACAACTACTATAGCAGGGAGACAGCCACAGCTGATCTCGGCAACCATCTGGCTATCTACCTCATCGTCGTTTTGTTTGCTGAGCAACTGATCTTGGTCTTCCGCAGGTGAGATGAGGGCTTGGGCATCCGCATCTAGCGAAGAACGAGGATCGACTTCCTCCTTTTTGGCGCGAGATTCCATAGTCATGGGAATGCTACTTGAGCTATGTGTGATCTTTCTTCTTTTCAACGCTCGCTGATACATGCGCTCAGCTTGCTCGAACTTGCAGTGCTTTTCGTAGAGAATTCTCAAGTTGTTGGCTGTGTCGACTGTCGATGGGTGGTCTGGCCCGAGTGCTTGTTCGTATCCATTCAGCGCTCGCTGGTACATCTGCTCTGCTCGCTGCCAATACTCATCTGCAAGAAGATTCCCAAGCCTATCAAACCATTCGGGTCGTATCCGGGCCTCGATAGCCTGCTTTTCACCTAACTCACCATTCGCTAAAAATCCATCCACTAACACATACCCCATGCCCTATAAGCCGCTTCCGCTTCCTCCATGACTCTACGTCCGACTTCAAGGGCACAAGTGATGCCACCAGAGCTACTGCTAAGCAGCCCAGCATCTGCCGCTCCTCATCTTTTACCCAGGAGTTACAGCATCGATGCAGCATCTCGTGCATCTCGTAGCTATCTGTGTCTTGTTTTTTATCTACAAGCGAGTAGCGTGACAATAGCCTCATTTCGTAATGAAATGCTTGCTCGTCCTGAATAACCTCTAGTAGCGAAGTTGGAACATCCATCTCTACAACTAGATCCTTGCACGCTGCTATTAGCTCGTACCATACCTCTCTGCTGTCTAAGAACCCTAACAGCTTTAGTAGACAGCCTGCCCCGTCGCTCTGTCTCTGCACTTGTTCGTATGCCATAACCCAGATGGGCCGCACAATATAATTGCCATACGCACCAAGCCCGAAGACACGGTTTTCCGCCCTCAGGAGATTCTGCGTACGGATGCAGTGCCAAGTATACATAGTCGCCGATACATTCGTCTCGCGCATGTACGACCCAGCTTGTCTGAGGGCTAGTGGGAGCCCAATGGGAAACTTAATAAATTCATCGGCATCTGTTCAAACTATATTAGTTACGGTGTCTCCTTTCAGCAGATAGAATTTTGCTCGTACCTTTCATTGATCTCCTGGCATTGATCTCGAGTATAGCACGGGCCTGCTCTACCGCCACTACGCTCAACCGGACGACAGACCCAAGCCGCGGGAAATGATCCCGTCGGCCCGTAACCAAGATTGACCCGTGATCTGCGTGTGGGAAGTAGTCCTGTATATTGTATGCCTGCAAATCGTCCTGGAAGTGATCGGGATACTCGCTGCCAACGTCATCTATAATCAGCAGCCAGTGAGAGTTTGACGACATAGACAACCACTGCCGACACTCACGCACCACCACGTCAGCCTCGACAGCGGCCTGGCTGCGTATCTGCGCACTATCAGCCGTCAGCTCGGCGGGCGGAAGTCTCTGCAATATATCAGCAAACGACTGCTCAAGGCTGGCCTTAGATGACCCGTCTAGCCAGAATACTGCGCTAAAATGGCGGTGGTGCTTTCGCGCAAACTCCGCTACTAGCTGCGTCTTACCCATGCCGCTCCGCCCATGGACGACCACTACTTTCCGATGACTCGTGGTGAGAGGAATACTTATAAGAGCCTCCTCAAGTACTTTCATCTCTGCATCTCGGGCGACAAACTGGTCTAATACAGGTACGCCTTTGAGACTAAAGTCGATCTTGTGCTTGCTCACATCTAGCGCACTTAGCCCATCTTGTTAATCTAGCAGGGACTACTACTATAGTTACCCTGAGATCGCGCCCATGAGAGCTGAGGAGACGCCTTCAAGACTTTCCGAAATACGTCTGCGAATGTCTCAAAGTCTTGCTCGTCCACGTTTTCGAAAATGTTTGTGGACTCAGACGGGACTAGATATCCGGCGTACCTGTCTGTCATGAATCCCTACACTTGCTTTTAGCATGGGTACTGCATGCGGTGTCTATAAACATTACAGTCGGATCCTGCTCGCGTTTAACCTTCCCTACGTTACTCGGCTTAGACTCATAGAACCACGCGAGCTGAGTCTTATTTGTCTAATCCCGCCTCTTTTTAGAAAAGGTGTCGACTAGGTCATGTATATAGTCAATGTCTGAATGCATCATCTGGTGGCCGTGGTACTCAAGCCACGCCTCGAGGTTCTCCATCTGCTCCATACCCTGGGCACCTCGAAACGGCATGTCGAAGAGGACCAGACTGGTATTCCATGAGAATACCCCAGGCCATTTTTCGGGGTCCTCTTCGGCTACTAGCAGTGCCTATAGAAACATTTAATGATAGCTGCATCGTTTCTGGTCTGTCTATCCGTCCTCTTACCTTAAGCACAATCAGCCCGCCAAATCCATGCGCTACAAACACTAGCGGACGGAACGGAGCATTCTGACAAAGTCAGTGGACACACAACGCCTAACAAGGACGTGCTGGCACCTTTCTTTGCTGCTTCAACGCTATTAGTAACTTCTCAGCCACGATAGCTATGAACTCCCGCATCTTCATTGGATCGAGCCAATGCGGCAGATACCCGTATCGCATAATACGCGCGTTTGGCGCTACCGCTGGCAACATATCATCCTCGACGAGCCAGTTGCGCCATTGCGGCTCTTCTGCCGTACCGACGTTCTTACACCAGCTCTTGTCGGGATGGGCGCCGAGGTCATGGATTGCCACAATACTAGCCGGCATGTAAGTTGTGGACAAATAGGCATTGTGGGAAAACGCACTCGATGTCCGGTACTTCTGTTGGTGCTTCGCGGAGCACCTTCAGGCCCTCGTTTTGGTTAGTGGATAGCCCAACCTAGCCATACGTTAGCCTCGGTGCGCGCTCATCTTATATACTACGTCTCACTGATTGTATATGTAAGAGGTCCATCACTGTCAGATAAGGGCTTGGAGGCCACAACAATTGGCAAACGAGAAGAGGGTAGAGGAGAGGAGAGCCAGATCCAGAGAGATCGATGCAGCGAGGCAAACGGCTAGGCTGAAATGCAGAGCTGAAAAGAGGCTGAGCGTCACGAGGGTTAGCTGTCGTAGCGATATGCGCCACCCTCACTTGCATTGAGCTTGCTGACTTGCACTAAATTGTGTGGCAGCAAGCCATTCCGGTTGCGAGCCATGACTAAATAGCCAGACTGCAAGATTAGTACTAGAAACTTAAACAGTACTGCAGCGATAGCTGACTAGACAAATCGCGGTATACAAAATACATGACTTTAATTGTTCGCACCTGTTTGGCGTGTAAGGTATCTGCCATGATACTCTAAGCCAGCGATCCAGGTGGGGGCCAACCCTTGGAGATCCAATCGGGTACTCTCTGGCTAATGGAGCCACAATCACGTGCGTAGAGTACTTACATAGTCACATCCGAACCAAACGGAACCAGGTACCAAAAAGAACACTTGCCATGAAACACATAACCTCTATTCACCCTTTACTTTATCTTAGGAAGACATGTTGCTCCGTTATGCGGGATAAACGTTACTTACTACAACACCTTCCCTTAACTAACCAGTCAAAAAAATACATATATAAAACCCAACAAACGATTCTAGGATTTAAAACTAGAGTCTAACCATCCCCACGCCTATCCACCCCCCTCAAAAAAAAATAATAGTCGGCAAAAGACCCTTTCGTCCCACATACCCCCCCCCCCCGATATATTCTATTCATGGAATTTTCAAATTCAGGTCAAGTAGGAATGAATGCCAGGTGCAACATGGAATACATGTACGAGACATGATACAAGATAGCTTCATGACAAATCAGGGTCGGTTGGCGCAATGGTAGCGCGTGGCCCTCCTACTATGCAAGCATCTCCATACATGTATGTGGCAGAGCAAAGCAAAGCAGAGTAAAATAAAGGCCAAGGTTGCGGGTTCGAGTCCCGTGCTGATCGGACATGAGACGGTTCTCGATTATACTCGAGATGGATGGTTGGACGTGGTGGAGAATATAGAGATTTATTTTTTTTGGGTTTTTCGCAGGGGGGGAAGTGGATTAGACATGTCACGTGCGCTCCTCTACTTAGCTGAACACGACGAGAAGACTTTGGGGCTGGGGTGGGATATGGAAATACTCTTTCACATCACTTGTCAATCAACATGTGTTCTTTGGAAAATAAAAGAGGTCTGGAATTACGCTCATCATGAAACTCATACACGTCATGAACATATCCGCAGCTTAATAGAAGCGCGCGAAAAGGGACAAGACTACTAGTAAGGCCAAGCGCATAAACTCCCCCCTCCCCACCATCGGTGACGAGACAAGTAGAGAGAGAAAAAAGTGGAACAGTTGAAAAAAGAATAACAAGAAAAGAAGAAAATCGACGCACTCCATGCACCGGCCCCCACTACTAAGTATCAAGCAGATATATCCCAAAAGGCCAATTATGCTGACATTGGCAATCCCCAAAAAACGCCGGAACCCCCATAATATGTAAAAAGACATTTGCAGTGCCAAAAGCTAGGCAGGTATGCTGGATGGACGAGGACTTGACGTGGACAGGAAAAAAGTCGAAGTGAGCACAATCGTAATAAGTGTAGTGTCCCGTGGCGCCATGCTAGAACTCCGTTGCGATGGAGATTGGAGACTAAGAAGTGGAAGAAATCCAGAAACGTTCATCATGCTTTGGTTCGTGAGATGGCGTTGCCGACGCTGCCAACGCGGCCGCTGGTTTTTCGTACACCAGCCTTTCCGTCGGTGCTTCGCCGTGAAGGGCTTGATCGCACCTTGGTCATGCTGATGCTGCCATTGCCGCTCTTCTCCTTTGGTGTCTTTGGTCGCGCGCCAGTTGGTGCGGTGTTTTCGAGATCGCTCTCTTCACCATAGCCAAAAGAGGTGTGCGTTACCGAAGTCTGGATGACAGATGTGGTGCTGAAAGCACGGCGTTGTTTATCCTTGAGGGTGGGCGAGCGCTGGGGCGAGCGCGACGATGTCCGTCGCGCAATCTGGCGAAGGTGGAACTCCTCGTCTGACTCGCCGTCGAAGCGTGTAATCTCCGCCCTCACCTCTGTGTGCGACTTTGTGAATGGCTCGTTTTCGTCAATGCGCTGGGGCGACTGTCGCGATCCGTTGCCGTAAAGCTTGCTAGTCTTTCGCGGCTGGCCGGGTGTCGGCGCAGGCAGGTTGTCGTCTAATACACCAATGTGTCCCGAATTGCTGCGCTCGTTCGACTCAATCTCGCCCAGAGCTGCGCGCTTCTGGGATCCGTTGGGAGGAGTGAAGGTTTGTCCGTTGCTAGCAAGGCGTTGCTTGTGCGATGACTTTGTGGGTGTGGAAGGTACCATCTGAGCATACTTGGCCTTCATGGTGTCCTCGTACCACCACTCGCGGAAAGTGCCCTGGTTCAGGTGCAGCCAGTGCTGTTGAGGGCCGACGACCATTCCAGGGCGCATGAATCGCATGTAGGCAATGATCTCGTTGGCAGTAAAGCCGTGCTTGTAGATGAGGTATGCTCCAATGAGGCAGCCAGTTCGTCCAAGACCAGCTTTGCAGTGGACGGCGATGCCTCGCTTTTGTACAGTGATCATCTCGTGTGCAAGGTTGACAAACTTGCGAACAAGGGAAAGAGGCGGGCAAGTTCCATCATCAAAAATCATGTTCAGGTGCTGAATGCCCAGCTTGGTGAAGTATGAGGACGAGTACAGCTCCGAGTTTAACCGCACGACGAGGCCAACGTTGCGAGCGCAGAAATGTGAGAGCACGTTCTTGAAAGGGCTGGGAAGGTCGGATCTTTGGATCTCGGCAATGTTGGAAGGAAGCGTCGCATACATGGGCGAAGAGGCGGGGATCTCGTGTGTGGGCTTTTGTTGTGGCGAGGCAAAGGCAAGGAAGTCGGGGGTGATCCAGTTGAAATCTCCCATATCTACGCGCTCGTACTTTTCGTACCTGGCAAAGTTAGCAGCTGTGAGAAGAAGCAACACGGACACACGTACTCCTCCAGACTAAAGTCCTTGAGTCCGCAGAGGCCTTCTTCCTTGGCTTTCCATACACCGTAGATGACATCCTGGATGTTGAGCACATAGTCGGCCTGGCTGTAGCCGGCGTCGCGGAAGGGCATGCAGGGGGGATCCATTTGTGCGATGGGTGCCAGGGCCAGGTGAGGTGGCCATGACTGGATAAGCACCATGTAGCATGCCAGGATACAAGCAGCGTTTGCGCGACCTAGGCATGTTAATTGGTGCGCAAAAGCGGCAGAGATGGAGTGTTCTTACTCCTCGAGTCGGCGTTGCTCCAGAAGACGACTGCGCGATCCTCATTGGCGGGGTCGCCTAGTACCTCGTGCAGCTGAACAGCGAAGCGGTACAGGTGACCAATGTGAAGTGGGCCAAAGTCACCGTGGAAAGCATTGTACAAGAGGGTCTTGTCAATGCTGAAGTAGACGGGCGGGAGCACCTTGTGTGCTGGAGCTGTAGGGCCGCCATGGGCGCGCGACGACCGCTTGGAAGGCGACTGGGACTGCTTGGGGTAAGGGAACGGGGTAGAGGCATCCGGAGCATACGTGTATGAGGCCAGGTAGAGACGGTCTTGGATGTACTAAGGGGCGTGGGGATCAGTATTTGGAGCAATGGCGCATTGTTTTGGTGATTGTTTTGGTGCTCACCTCGATGACCTGGCCGTAGCTGGTCGTGGACGCGCGAGGCATTTTGGAAGTCCGCTCGCGGTGCGAAGACATGAACAGCAAGGGGCGACTCTCAAAGTGCTTGCCTGCTACAGCGGGAGGAAGCGGCGATGGGATAGGGCGCACGAAGATAGCGGAGCGTCACAAGAGGCCGACTTGGGATGAGAGCAGCAGGCTCGGGGGCGCGGCGCGGCGGAGGCGGGCGGAGAGCTGGTGGTGAAGGAGAGGCTGGCGGCGAGATGGCGAGAAGGCCGTCTGCTGTTCCTGCTGCGGTCTGGGTTAAGGAATAATGGTAGAGATGGCCGTGGTGCGGGAGTGGTTGCAAGTTTAAGCACATGTCGGTGTTGTTGTTGTTTACAGGCGCACGGACGGCGGCACTAGCTCCGCTCCATGGTTTCGGCACACCCGCCAACAGCATCACAACAACTCTGGACGCTGAGGCCCGAGCGCCATGACAACAAGGCACGAGCGGCTGCCCTCCCCTACTGCGCATCCGCCGCACTGCCCGTTGTTATGCTCCTGCAACATGCACCGCTGAGCTGGCCACTTGTAGCCCCTCTCAAACCGCCTGCAATGCTCTCGTCTCTAAGGAAACCAGCGCTGTCGGCCTTCTCCCTGCAGCCGTCGTTCCTCCTAGTACATGACCTCACAGGGTCCAGTGCCACCGCCCATGTGCCTCTGCATCTGCCTCTCCATCATGCCGCCGTTGCTCCCACCCGGCTGCCATGGTAATGCTGACACCCGTCACGCCAGCACGCAGGTCCGCCCATGTGCCTTCGCCCTGATTGCCATGGCTGCAGCTATCCTGCAGGGGAACTGCTGTTGTGTGGTGTGGTGTGGTGTGGTGTGGGTAGGGATGAATACAATACATACATGCCTCCAACGGTATCGATAAGACGCGCTTATTGGCCGTCCCCGAACATGCACCTTGTAAAACATAACATCGCCTGACGACTGCAACTAAACTCCCCCCACACATCATCATCATCAAAACAACATCCATCCATCTACAGAACCACCTTGCGGAAATGATACGCAGAGGCAGATCCGAGGGATGGCTCAAACAGCCCATTGATGCATTGCCTACCTGGGCCACTTTCAACGGCGTCACCTTCGACAAGGTCAAAATTGGTCCCCTCCCTGGCCATGAGGACAGAGGTTCAACCGTCATCGCAGACCAGAACCTCCAAGGAGGCAATGTCGATCCTCTCATTGTAGTGCCCAAAGAATTGATCATCTCTCGTCAAAATATAGATCTCCTTGCAAAGTCGGATCATCGTCTACATGATCTTCTTGAAGCCCTGGGGGACTTCGGAAGGGTGCGTGATAGACTCTGGCAACCTATGAAGTGCCCATAATAGTAACATTCTGCAGACAACAAGAGGCGCCGTGCTCTCATTCCTGCTCCTCCAAGCTACCATCTGTTGCCCAGACACAAAGGATGTGGGTCTGCTGAATCCTCTAACCCAATATATCAAGTTTCTCCCAGATGAGCTTCTTCCCACTTTTTGGACAGAGGAGGAGCGGGAGCTTCTCGTCGGAACCACGCTCAAGCCTGCCGTCAGCGCAAAGCTCAACAGTCTACTGCGCGAGTTTGAGAATCTGCGAACCGCTACAGAATCCATCCCGTGGTGCAATAAATATTGGTGGGATGAAGAAGACGGCATGCTCACCTTTGATGATTGGATGCGAGTCGATGCCATGTACAGGTCCAGAGCCTTGGAATTTCCAGGTGCTGGCGATTGCATGATGCCATGCGTGGATATGGCCAATCACGCATCGGGTAATGCCACAGCCGCCTTATATGAAACAGATAGCAACGGAAATGGCTTGCTTCTACTTCGAGAGGGCCAAAATATTGAAGCAGGGGGCGAAGTAACAATCACGTATGTCGCCCGAAACGGATCAAAACAATGCGCTGACAAACATAGGTACGGTGACGACAAAGGCGCGTGCGAAAAAATCTTCTCATATGGATTCCTCGAAGACGGCATGACCTCTGCAAAAGTCATGTTCCTGGATCTTGACATTCCAGACGATGATCCTCTCAGACCTGCAAAAATATATGTCTCAACAGAAGCGCCAGGATTCCGCATCTTCGAAAAAGACGGCGAGATAGATTGGGAGGGCGACTTCATATGGCTTGTTGTAGTCAACGAGGAGGATGGGTTAGACTTCAAGGTCAGGCAAACCACCGATGGCAAGAAAAGTATCCAGGGTTTTTGGAGAGAGAGTGAGCTGGATACCTCTAAGCTGCGGAAATACCTTGAAGAGGACGCAACTTGGGAAGTCTTCCAGCTGCGTGCGACAGTGCTCTTGCAAGCCCGTATTGATGAGCAGATCGAGGCGCTCAGGGGCGCTGAAGGCATCAAGCGCGAGGGCACCATTCGCGAATTACCATGGAAACTTGCAGAGCGGCTCCGAAGCTTAGAGCTGGAAATGCTCCAACGTGCCGCATCAGTCTTTGACAAACAGGTAAGTGCCATCCCTTCTTCTCGCGCCCCACGTCATACGTTTCGAAGTTGTTACATAGTTTCGTTGTTCAGCGGTAGGATACAATCCTCACCGCCTAGGTTGCCAAGTGCATGTTGGTGCAAGTCGGCAACGTGCGCTTGATCGACCACACGTGCCGAACGCGTCCCTGCAGATGCCACGTGCAACCAGGAACAGACACTGACATTGACTACAGAGAGCAAAATTGTTAGACTCACCCACTGTCATACACTATCTGGGTATGGATGAGCAGGAGGAAGAAGTTGATTTTTCTTGAACACGCATGGATCAATCCAACTCTACTTGCTTTCTCGTAGGCAAGGCGATATTGGTGACGGATCATCCGGAAATAAAGCGCATTCACTACAAACGATGCAACGAAGCAGTGATTTTCTGCCATAGACATCGCATCGCTCACTCATCTGATAACACGGTTTATCCTAGGGTTGAAATACTGTTATTCAATACTAGAGTATAGATTTAGCAGTCATGATGAGCTGTAGTGTGTAAGTATACTGTATAGATAATACGATCACGCCACGTCGTACGTTCACAGAGATCAGCCACCCAACACCAATGAACGGTATGCAAAATGTCTTTTCTGCAAAGCTAAGGGTGACCCTCATGGCTTGAGTGGGATCAACCGCTTATCACGTCGTATACTAAGCAGTATTCTTCTAGAACAATGTGAGAGTAGCCCAGGATTGCGCCGGTTTGCTTGGGTAAATTCAAAAAACCCCGTAGCAAGGATGGCACGCACATAGAGTAGATATCGAGTACATACAGTAGTGTATATGAATACGAGCAGCAAATGAGGCGTGGTTCTTCGCGAAAAAAACGTCCGGTACTATACCCTCCATGAAGATGACTCGTGGGTCGACTCCAACAACTCCAGTTCTACGCAGGTCTAGCGTGTCACAAGGCAGACGAGGGGAATAAGGCCCAACAGGCGCACTGTGGCTGACGTCTTTCATGTTGTTTCGTCAAGGCCAACACTCCGTGGAGGATCAAAGGGCCGATCATCACACGCGATGAGGGACGCCGAGAACGGCCGTCAAGCAGCAGTCAGCCCCGCATGCTGATCGCAGCCAGTCATGATTAAGGTTTGGTGGTTAGTGATGAGCGAAAATGTATCGGCAACGACACCTGCTGCTCGTCTGTGGCCTGATGGGATTGGCATGGCGCCTTTCCGCCCCCGCAGCCACCCACAAATTCCCCAGGATCTGACTAGACTAGGGTGGCAGGTTGCAGCTTTATGTACATTTGCCAGGCCGCTCCGATTCTTCCGCTCACCTTTAACCCCCTCGTTCAATCTGGGCACACGCTCACCTCGACTTTAACCGGCTGTGTCTACACTGCGACACCAGCACACGTCGCTCGACGCCAACAACCGTCAAACTCTGCCCACCACACGCTTTTCGCAAGCCTAGGAACGCCGGACCATCGCATGACAGGACCCAACACCACCTACTAGCGACTGCCCGTTGGGCCTACGACAAGCAGCACTTACACACTATCCCCGACGCGCAAGCACAAAAATATCGCCACCATGCCTGGAATCCTGCCCATGAAGGTCATCAAAGTCGGCTCAAGCTGCCAGAGCCGCATCGCCCAAGCCTGCGACCGTTGTCGCTCCAAGAAGATACGATGCGACGGTATTCGCCCCAGTTGCACACAGTGTACAAATGTTGGGTTCGAGTGCAAGACAAGTGACAAGCTCAGTCGTCGTGCTTTCCCTAGAGGATACACGGAGTCTTTAGAAGAGCGCGTCCGTGCTTTGGAAAGCGAAGTTCGGGAACTCAAAGAACTGCTGGACGAAAAGGACGAAAAGATTGACATGCTATCGCGGATCCACTCGCATTCTCCAGCATCGCAAGCACCTGCAAGACGAACATCGCCACAATCTCCGGGGACATCGGACGGTCGTGAAGAGTCACAAGAAAAGGACGACACATTCAAGGTGCAGCAGGCGCCACATTTACTCGACGATGTGAATCATGATTCTTACTTTGTAGGCAGTTCGGCTGGACGAACACTTGTTGGTACGATCTCTGCTCCCTCTTCAGCAGCACTCATGTCTAACATTTCGCAGAGGCCTTCAAACAAAAAGCACAAGAAGGAGGCAGACTCTCAACCGACGTTGACTCGAGCGTCTTCTTTGGCGCAGGTGCAAAGCCAGCTGCCACTCAATCAAAACGTCCAGTATCGTTCAAAGCCCCTCCTCGTCTAGTCTCAGACCAGATGGTCAACATATTCTTTCAAGAGTGGGCACCCTTGTTCCCAATCCTCCATCGCCCAACCTTCTTAGGTCTATACGAGCAATATGTTGCCAGTCCAGATACTATGACCGACAAAAAGGCCATTGCCCAACTCAACCTAGTCTTTGGAATCGCTGCGCTTTCGAGCGACGTACGTACCCGAAACCTGTCGCGTCTTTGACTACAAACTAACACTTCGCAGCCTCGCGACGGCCAGGATGTCGACTCTTTCGAAGCCCAGTGGCAGAGCGCAATCAAGAGCTTCTTGATGGCCAACGATATAGCAACCCTTCAGTGTCTTGTTCTTGCCCAGATCTTCTGCCTCTTGAGAGCGGATTACTCTCAGCTGCTCAAGTACAAAGGCTTGGCTGTCGGCCTGTCACAACGTCTTGGCTTGCATCAATCCCAGAAGCGCTTCGCACTTGACGCGCTGACACGTGAAACACGCAAGAAGACCTTTTGGTCACTCTACACTGTTGACTGGTAAGTTTGTACCACCGAGAAATTGCCATCACATTGCTGATTTTCTATAGCTTCTCCGCTGCACACATTGGTCTTCCGAAACTGATTCGCGAGGAAGATGTGCACTGCGAGTATCCTGTAGATGCTGACGACGAATACGTCACAGAGAAGGGATTCCTGCCGACATTGCCGGGTGAATACACCAAGCTCTCCAGTGCGCTAGCGCTCTTCCGCCTGTCACGCATCCTGTCCAGGGTCCTTGTGGAACTCTATCCCGGATCGGCGTCTCATGACATCTCTTTCCGCACCATAGCAACGTTGGCCGACGAATTAGAGGACTGGCAAAGCAACCTTGCACCGCACCTCAAGCTCACATTCGCACAAGACAAACCGAGCACCAACGTCACCAGCAGCCGTTCTCCTATTCTGGTATGTACAACCTGCATGGTACTAGTTTCCTGAGTACTAACAACATTAGTCGCTTGCATATCATCACATCAGAGCCCTGGTGTACCGTCCGGCTGTTGTTGCCAATCTCGGTGACAGAGCGTCTTCAGCTATAGTGGCCATTGGTGATGCCTGTAAACACATTGTGCAGATTGTCGAGCTCCTTGATGAACGCAAACTTAGCTTCTCCTTTTGCCTCAACCGCAATGAGGTCCTCGTGCAAGCCGGTTTCGGTCTGCTTTTCCAGGCGCTCAACCTCGCCCGCGAAGGCAAGCTCATTAAAGAAAGCAACCGCCTCGTCTGTACCGTCATGGACATGCTCGAGCATGGAAACGCTGCTGGCTACCCTGACTTCCGTCGGATTGGTTGTGGTATCGTGGCTGTACCGAGCGTAGATCAGATGCCAGCACCGCCCCTTTCGCGGCACAACTCCGATCAAAGCATGGGCGCGCCTTTGGATACTTTCCGTGCCACGCAAAAGTCGCTTAAGGCTTTGGCAGCACGCTTCTCCTCAGGCACCTCGAAGGCTACTCGTGCAGACGCCAGGGAACCGCGTCGTGCAACGCTTCCTGCCCTTTCGCCCCACATAGGCTCTCATCCTAACCACTCATCAACGAGTTTATCCTCGATTCGGTCGGAGCCTCCAACTGCCCGCTCTGAGCCAAATTTGAGCCCATTGTCTCACCGTGCATCCTTTTCAGTGCCAAACAAGCGCCAGCCAAGCCAACCTATCAGTCAACAGCAACAGCAGCAACGCAACATCGACTACATGTCTTTCCCGATGGATCCATTAGCTGGTTATGTGATCTCAAATAGCAACCAAGCTATCAAGTCTGAGGTTTCGCCGGCAGATTGGGAGCGTCTTCTCTCGTCACTGGACAATGGACAAACAAACATCTACGACACCATTTATGGTGGTCCACCAGCGGACGCTCTGCTAGATATGACACCTTTGTCTGCTACCACCGACAGCAACACTACATGGTCGCCTAATGTCTGGAACTGGAACAGCTACGCCTCCGAGGCCCCGCCGCCCCAGAGCGTTCTCAGCTTTAGCGATGAGAGCTTGACTAGCGGAGAAGAATTTAATAATGCTGCTTGCGACTACGGGTCTACGCCTGGTAGCGATGGCCTGTACCCTGGTATTATGATCCCTGGAGATTACGAGGATGCCGCGAATCTGGTTGGGCTCGACGGCAACTATTCCGGATTGTGAGGTATGGGTGGGTATAATGATGCGACGACATGACGATGGGTTTGTACATTGGAAGATATTTGTCTAGTGCACATAGTTGTCTAGGGATTTGGCGTGCTTTGGATTTGATCCACAGTTTGATTCGACTTTTAGTTTTTGGTTGTTGTTGTTGTCTGTTCGAGATACCAAGCTCACTACAAGAGCAAAAACGCCGTTGGGAGGGTGAGATTCCGAGTTTTCTTCCCTTTGTCATTTCCATTTGGCAGAATGTAAGGGTTCGTTATTGCATATAATCTTTTTTAGTTTTGTAATGATTCAAATATCATCATTTCTCCTGAACATCTTCCATCTTTTCACTTTCGAAAGATGGTCATTCAATTTATCCTACATTGACTTATAAATACCCTTCAGCATAGTACCTGGCAAAATACCCCAAGCATGTAATCTCCCACATCGCCATAATTCGGATAACCCAAGTTTCAGATTTACTCCCCATCATACCCAGATACCCATCGCAAATAGCCTAAATTACCCCAGACCCAAGACGCATGGCTGAAGAAAGCATCAATGAATCTCGAGCTCTACTACCCTACCACACAAACTCACCCTGCTCACATGCCCTTTCTTCCAAACTCCCTCGCACATTTATTCCAACAGAAAGTTGTTCATCCACCCAGGCACCGAACTGACCCGTTTCCTCACTGCGCTTCCTCCTTCTCACCGCTTCCCTCCCGAAACCCCCAACCCTCAAACCGCCTCCCGACCCCCTTGTCCGGCGCTCCCGAGCCTTCTTCCGGACAAAAGGAAAGAAGAAGAAAAAAAGTCGAACCATGTTGCTGCAAGTTCAGCCACATTGTGCGCCACAACATGACTTCTTTCCATGACTGAAACAAAACAAACATGTAACTTCCTATT